TGCTTCCAAAGGCATCAGGAAATTCCATCAAAAAGCTGGTACAATGGGAAACAGCCATTTGATACTAGAAGAAAATTATCCAATTGCTTATACTTTGGATATAACTGATTATACATTGGGTGGAATATTCTTAGAAGAAAAAAAAACATGAAATAGGATTATACCGGTAAAAATAAATTTTAAAATAAATCATTTTATTTTCTTTTCCATCCCATTTCTCAGTAATACCATTATTGCTAAAGGGCCAATAATGTAGTTGCTAAAAACAGGAGCAAGGCTGTAGTTTGGGAATTAGCAGGAAAGGAAATAAGTTTGGGACATTTCCATCAATGATCCCAGTCATAATTGTTTCTAGCAAGTTTGTGCTTAGAATTTTTAGATCCTTAATTTTTGTTTCTGAGTGAAAAAAATTTATATGAAATATTCTAAAGAAGCTTCCAAATTATAAGGTAAATGTAATATTTTCCTAGTTATAAGTATGGTAGAGATTAAAGTATGTACTCCAAAAGTACATGTTGGTAAAAATTTCTAATTGCCTGCTAGATCATTTAGAGTGGTGCAAATATTGATCAGGAATAAAAAAAGTTTTAATTCTTTAGTTTCATTTTTGAGAGTTTAGTTTACCTTTAACCTAAATTTCATACATGTAATCATAATTATATACTTATTCATTTATACATTTTTGATAGGAAGTAGAAACAACTATGAGAGGATAGTTTGAGCAAAGCTGATGTAGCCATTTTGAAGCACTTGGTAGAGCTTACTGAGTCTAAGGACAAAACAAAGGAACAGGAAATATGCTGCTGCTGCTTTTCTAGGTGAAATAACTGAATTCCAGCAAGGCTGAGGAAATTCAAATGTCTCCATTTTGTTTTACAGGAGCTTAGTTTCACAAGAATATACCGGAAACTCACAAAAATACTGTGATTTGAAGTAGATCTGACACTGTGTTCTGGAGAACTTCAGATTTTTCTCCTACTGAGTTAACTCGTTTTTTTAAAGTGAAAAAATCCAAATGAAGGGGTCATATGCTTTACCAAAGTTTTATATATATATATATCTCCATACCTTACTAGAATAATGTGTGTATACACATACACATACATAAACACGCATATAGACACATTCTAGTAAGGTATATATATGTGTATATACATACACACGCATAATGTTTGCATTTCTCTAAAGATTAAAAATTAATTCTTCAGCGAAATATCTTACTCTTTTTCCTTGAAAAGAAAATTTGCCTGTCTCTTAAAGTCAACTTGGATTAGCAGAACCACCTCTGCCGACGCTTGTCAGTGGCCACTCCTTGCCTGGACACGATATTTGGAGGTCATAGCTGGAAACAAATGGGAGCTGTTTTTGGAGGCTGCATTGCCTTTTTAGGTTATGAGGGTCTCTCTGTGTTTAGGATAACATGATTGACAGCTCTATTCTAGCTCCAATTAGCACCCTATAATTTATTAGCTTCTGCTTTCAGATTATGCGTTAACTTCACAAATATTTCAACCACGGAAACAGCAGCTATCAAGTGTCTCTTTCCTGATCCAGCCTTCTGGGGCTGCAGTGAAATACAAGGAAAGAGCAGTACAGTTGGTCTGTCAAGTGAGAATAATCATTTGTGCCTGTGCCTGTCTGAGGGCATGATGTCTCTGATTTCTCTTTAGCCTGCATCTGTGTGTGTGTATGTGTATTATATTTGTGGATAGATTCTATTGTGCAGATATCACATTTGTATTATTATAGTTTCATATTTATAAGCAATAAGCAAGAGTTGGTATTTAGGAAATGTGAAATTAATATTTGCTTAACACTACTGCTTGTGTAAACACCACAATTTCAGTTACATGGTAATCATAATACTGTCTTATATCTATTCCTTTCCTCCAGATTTTAGGAACATATAATAAATCCTAAAAATCTCGTAAGAAAAAATGAAATATATGGAGAAAACAGCTTGGTAAGTATAATTAAAATGTGAATTATTTGCATGAGAATTGTCAATAAACTGTCAAAGCACTTTTAAAAAGTGATCTTAGGTTTTTCAGTTTCATTTATATTTAAAGTATTTTCACATATCTTTCCATTTTTCTTCCATGCTTAGATGACATCCTAATGAATTACACTAATAAATTTAATTTATGGACATAGCATTTACATGAAAGCAGTTTGTTTAAGTTCTATTAATTTTTATCCCCTCGAACTCCAAGGTAATTTTTCACTAAGTACTTAAAAAAAAAAGAGCTTTTTAATTTTGACAGAATACATGCATAGCTGCACAGAAATGCAGGCTTTCTTATTCTAAGTAAAATGAAAATTGAAGTTACCCAAAGAGCTGTTTTATCCAGATGCAGAAGGACACAGAAAATACCATACTTACCCAGAAAGAGTGAAAAGAGAAGTGTTCAGTCAGGGGTTCTGAGTCCCAACACCCACCATCTCCCATCCAGACCCAAGTAAATCTTAAGTTATTGCTAGAATTTGCCATGCATTTAAATAGAACTTCAAAGAGGGAAATGAGACGGGATGGCAACTCTTTTTACACTGAAGGAATAGAACAGATAGAGTTCCCTGTAGCTGGGTGACCGAATTCTCAGCCAGAGGGCAATCGGCAAAAGGATTACTTGGTGGTAGAGAGCCGTCTCTTTCCTTTTCATCACCTCACCTTCGACCTAGGCCAAGTGCAAAGGGAAAACTGTGGGCAAAGAGGACACTAATGCCAAGGCGGGAGTGATTAAAGGAGAATATAACCTTTCTCTGAGCCCCCTGACCAGGTATAACATATGTAAAAACGTCAAGTTTGCCTTTCTTCATGCCATTCCTTATTTCCTTGAATGTCCTTTTTTCAACGCTAGAACCTTCTCTGATCTGCATGGTTTGACTACTATTAGCAAGACAGGTATGAGAGTTCGTATTTTGTGTGACTTGAAGTGAGCCTGAAGAATGTCAGGTAGGTCTACCATTTCACCAAAGTTCTCCTTGATGCTCTTATTACACAGGACGAAGTCATTATAGATCTAGGTCATCTTGCATTTCTACCTGAGGAAGGTGTGGAATGGAGGGAAATACTGTGGTTCTTGTGTCATATGTGCCAGGTCGCTGGAGCCTGGACCGGCTCAGCAGTCTGGACGGTCTGTTCAGGACCGCCCCAAAGGCCGGTTCCAGTGAATGAGTCTTCTCACCAGCAACCTGATATTCGGGTCAGATGTAGCTTAGGTGAGAAGTTTCAGTAATCAGAACCGTGTGGCTGGGAAGATGTTCCCTGTGGGTTCTGATCGCAGGTCTTTGAGTGTTAATGAAAGTGGGGTGCAGGTAAACAGCCCCTTCAGTGGGGCATAGGTGGAGATGTCCAGCAGAGAATGAACTGCCATGCTTTCTTCAACAGTATAGTTAGTAGCAAATTCTGAAAAGCACACTGGGATTCAATGCATTTTATTTACACTTGTATATACCACGGATTCATGCCAGTGGAACATGGATTAAAAAAATCCACAGACAAGTCCAAAGTTAATTTTAGTTATTGCTTCAATGTCCAAACCTCAGGCTAACTCTTATGCAGCTTGATTAGGTTAGGTGTGAAGAATTTCAGAGTGGTGAAGGCTGTTAAATACTGAAGTAAATAAGGGAAGCAATAATAGCTCCCTCCTGAAGAAGAATTGAGAGCTGCATCTGACTGAATGGTCTAAGTAGTGTCATTTGACGGAGTTCGGACAATGTCCTATGACAGTTCATTTGAGACTGAAGATTCTGGAAGTTCTACCAAAACATCATCAATCTGTACTTCTCTGACTTTTTCCCTTCTTTATGCATCTATTGTGGAGAAAATAAGCCCAATGTTGAAGAGCATAGAGACAAATCAGAACTGGACAAGGGGTCACTGCAGTGAATAACACTGCAGCCCTGCACCGGCACTACATGAGTTTGCAGCCTGACTCTGCCACTGATGAGCTTCATGACTGGAAAAATTATTTCTCCTCTGCGTGCCTTAGTTTTCTAATAGGTGAGAAGGAGAACATCATAATAAATACCATATAGAATTGTGAGTCTTAAATAAGTTAATCTATAAAGATCAATGCCCAGTGGATAATAAACAATTAACAATAAATTATGATTATTGTTATCAGATGCGATGCACATAATCACAGAGTACCTTCCACCAGACTGCAAACAACAATAGTCTTGGAATGATCACACCTACTTCACAGGTAGCCAAATGACAGAAAGAGGGTATGGGGAACTCTGCCAAGCTCATGCTGTGAGTTAGATCCCTTAACTGCTTCCAATTCTTGAGACTTATCCAAGATAAATTATATTTGCCTCTCATGTTATAATGAAGATCAATGTTTGGAAGATCAATTGAAGATCAATTTTTATGGGCATCAACAAGGTACAAGGGCACTTTGAGCAGCACACAAAATCTCTCTACCGGGCACTTTTGTGAAAGAATGGAAATAACTTTGGTATCAAGAGGAAACAAGGGGAAAAACTATCAGTTTCTTGCTTAATAATCTTTTATTGCCTAGTGAGAGATTTGGTTTCTTAGCCTAGTTTATTAAAATATAAAATAGCCAATATTTCAGAAACACTTTTAACTGATGACTCTGTATCTTGAGTCTAGAATTAACATGTAACAATAATTCTTTTCTGGAAAATACTAAATCTGTACCGGACTGAATGGTCTGCAGGTAGTGCTTTTTGTACCATCTTTGCTTCTAACTTCTGAATGCTAACAGGCAAGACCTTGACCTCTGTAGGCCACAATTTTCTCCTTTGTAAAACAGACAGGGGCACCTAACTTCTCATTCTCCAAGGCTGATGTGAGATGGAAACACTTAACAGATGCCTAGCACAGCAAACACAGTGGAAACACAGAAAGAACTATCTATTTATCTATCTATATCTATATATAATATTACTGACATCAAATCATAGCACTGTTATTTTATTCTACTAGAAAAAAACTAAGTTATTTTCTTTTTATGAATCAACACAGTGAATTCATAGTGAACAGACATCTTTAATGTTCGTCTCTTCTTCCTTATCACCTTCAGCTTTGCCCACGCACAGACCCTTTCCCCTGCCCCAACACTAAATCACAATCAGAGAGACTGAGAAAAAAATTTGAGGTAATGGAGACTTCATGCACTTTCTTCTGCTTGTGGTGGTTCCCAGTTCTTCTCCATGGAGACAGTTCGGGTCTCTCTTTGCTTTTTTCATCCAGAGGATAGAGGGACAGAATTTGTGGGAGAGAAGGCAGAGAAGGGTTTCTTCTTTCATCGTAAAATGTTCCTCGTAAAAAATATGATATATATACATATATATATGTATATATACATATATATATATATATATAATATATCCAGTGCAATTGCAATTGTTCTGCCAAATACTGAGAAATGCCACCTTGGTTGATATATTTCTGGAGTTTAAACAGTTGTCTTACAACAGCTGCATTTTAGTAAGACTTGGGCAGGTGGCTCCAGATAAGCCACTTGCCACTCACATTCAGGCTGAGGCTTCCATGTTCACAGTCCAAAGGAAAAAAGTGTATCTTTGCGTCTGGAGTGGGCGTTGTAGGGCGAGGATGGACAGGAAGGGATCTGGAGGCTGAGAGGTGAGGAAGAAGGAATTGACTTCTTTTTACTTCTCTACCACAGTCTTAGATGCAAGTACACATACATTTTAAAATCTGACATTAGTAGTGCTATAGTCACACTACCTAACAAAATAATTCACATCAGCATAAAAAATATTCACACCAAAAAGTCTCATTTTCTTTCCCCCCTTTCCAAGAAAGCTTATGATATCATATCACCTGACTAAGCCATCTCACCACAGATATTTCCAGTGATTCGGCCAAAAGTCAAACGTAACTCAGAGTCTTTGGATTTGCTATTTCAGCAGCAGGAATTATTTTTAGATGAATTTCTGCAGTTGTGGTTTTTGGTTTTCCCAATACACTGAGAAGTCTGAAGTCTCTGCCTTCCCCCATGTCCTCATCCACGGAGTGAGAGGCACAGATGCTGAGCCTCCAAGGCTGGTCAGAAGGGAAGGGGAAGGGGAAACCCTGGGTCAGCAGATCAGCTCAGGAGGGATGCACCACAGAGGGAATAACGACGAGCTGCAAACCAAGATCAGAAGCTGTTACAAACCCACTCCATTTCAGCTCTGAGTGGCATCAACTGCACTATGCAGAGACCTACAGGGAAGAAGGTGGGCTGTCTAAAACCAGTACACATCCTTGCTTTTGTCCTGAGGCTGCAAACCTGAAAATAGAAGATAAAAGAGAGAGAGGAGGTGGAGAGGGAGGGAGGAAGGGAGGGAGGGAGAGAGAAAGAGAGACAGAGAAAGAGAGAAGAGGAGAAGGAAGAGAAAGGGAGGGATAAAGAAGGAATGGGAGAGGGAAGGCACAAGATATTTAAGGAAAGAAAGACAAAACACCACTGTTTTATTGTGAAAGTCACAGACTTCATCTAAAGTTCAGGGTGGGGGGCAGTGACTGAAAGCAAAAGCAAAGCAAACAAAAAAGTCAAATCACTTAAGGAAAGGGGCAGGGGCAGGCTATAAGCCAGTGATTGCACTTATTTTATAATTATTTCTTTCATTTGCCCTAACAATAAGAAAAGAAAGCAAAAAAGCAAACTCTTGTTAACTATACATTTCCAATTCTTTAAGCTAGAAACTTAGGATTGTTATTTTAAAATATTCTTTAAGTTTTACATTTTTAAGAGAGCTATTTTATTTGGCAATTAACTTGATAGCAGGATCACATTTTTCTTTTCTTATAACTGTCACTAGGTGACGAAATTCCCCAAGCCATGTTAGATTTTAAATTGTACTCTCAGCAGCTACTCTTGATCAGCGCTGTCCAATATAAATACAATGGAAGCCATAAACATAATTCTAAATATTCTAGCAGCCACAATTGGAAAAAATAGTAAAAAGAAATGACAGATGAAAATTAATTTTTATAATCTATATGCAGTATGTTGAAAACATTTCAACATGTAATCAATATAAAAGTGTTAATGAGACGAATCTTACATTCTTTTTCTGCACAAAGATTTGGAAATCCAGTGTGTATTACACACTGACAGCACATCTTAATTCGGCCTCACCACGTACCAACTGCTCAGTGGCACCATGTGTCCAGCGGCTACAGTATTGAACAGTGCAGAGCTAGAACTTCTCCACCAAATTTTATTGGGAAAAAAAAAAAAAAGTCCTCTCTAATATTTACCATCCAGGTTAGGGTAGGGTCCTACTTTCTCACCTCGCCTACCCGTTGGCACAGAGCCATCTATCAGTGGAAACACGACAGTGCCATGTAGATCCTTGGGCCACAGAATTCAAGGTCTCCAAGGAGGATTAAGGGGGTCTAGGCACAGCCCAGGGTCGGGTACGTGGGGCCGAGGGGTTCCGCGGAGACCAAACTTCTTCCTCTGCTTACCTGAGTCCACGCTGAGGCCCAGACCCTGGGCCACGTCCCCCGAGGGGCTCGAGAAAGGACCCCCCGGCGCGGCCCACGCGGCGCCCGCAGGCTCGCCCTTGCCCGAGAGCTCGCAGGCAGGACTGCCTGGCGCGGGCGCCGGGGCGGGTGCGAGGCGGGCCGGGCGCCCGGAGGCGGCGGGCATCAGCAGCGGCCCATAGCGCGGGTCGAAGTGCGGTGCGTAGACCTCGTGCACAGCGGCGGGGCGCGGGTAGGCGGCGGCCTGGGCGCCGAGGGCGCCGCCCAGGGCGTAGGGGTGATGCGGGTGCGCGTGGTGCGGGTGCGCGTGGTGCCAGGGCTCGGTGGCGCCCTGGTGCAGGTGGCCATGCAGCGCGGCGGGCGAGTAGGGGTCGGCGGCGGCGAAGGGCAGCTCCGAGTGCGCGGTGGCCAGAGGGCTGCCTAGCGGCGCGGGCATCGGCGCCTGGTACGCGCTGTTCCAGAAGGAGGCGGGGAAGCTGCGCTGGCTCATCGGGAAGGAGCAGTCTTCAGGCCGGGGAGGCGGAGTGGAGGAAAAGAAAAGAGGTGCGTGTCACTGCGGCGGGACTCAGCGCCGACCTGCAGAGCTGAGGGCGCCGAGCGGGCACTGTAGGCTGGCAAGTCAAGGCCGAGGGCAGAAGGCAGCCCCCGCCTCTGCAGCGGCGTTTTTCTAAGGAGGCTGCAGTTTGTGAAAGCGAGGTGAGGGCACTGCAAAGGAACCCTGGGAAGGAGGCCTGCTTCCCCCCATTTCGCAGCCGCTTCCACCGTGTGGAACCGAGTGGCTCGGAGAGTGAGAGTAAGAGCTGAGAGACGCCCTCCGAGACTCAAGCCTCGAAACGCAAAGGAGCTTCCCGCGACTCAGTGCAGACACGGTCTCCCTTTCTCAGCCTCAGCCTCTCCTCAAGCTAAAGATACCTCTCCCCACTCTTGGTCGGCCGCCTAGGGATCTCACTACCCCTTCTCGTGTTTCAGCCTTCCTGGCTCCAGAAAATGTGCTCCTCCAAGGTCTCTGACAGCCTGAAAGTCCACCGACATATTTTGAAGTTTTGCTATTATTAGTTTTCTTTCTAGAAACCTTCTTTCAAAAGTTTTTCTTCAAGAATTCAAGCAGAAGAGTAAACTAGTCACATTAAAAGTGCAGCTCTATTATTTACACAGAACGACACGAATAACAAGTCTTTTATCCGACGTTTTCATTAACTTTCTGCATTAAAGTGAGGACGCCAGCAGTAATAGTAATTATTATTACTATTGTCAGTATCATTGTTGGACCCTAGCCAGTGGTAGCATTTTAAGATAACAGCGTTTAGGTCACATTTGTTGCCATTAGTAGAGAGGGAGAGAAAGACAGATATTTAATTCATGGAGCCTTTATGGAACACCTCCTCTGTGGAAGGCATCTGCACCATATACTAGAGAATTTTAAACGAATTGAAAATGCATTCTAAGTGGTGAAGAATCTTCCTGTTAAAAATATTTAGGCAGAGATTAAGAAGAATATTCTGTATCTAAAATGAATGTTTTTTGGATCTTGTCTAAGGGCAAGCCTTGTGCAAACTGCCAGACTCTCTTAAGGAAAAAAGTGGGTGAAGGGTTGCCATTTCCCTCCCAAAAACAAATGAAAATTTGTTTCCTTTTTTTTCCAACAACGTCCTCTTTTCTTAGCTTGGTACACATCAAATACAGCTTAGTGAGCCAAATTTACTTAATGGTTCCCCCACCTTTGTCTTGTTGGTAATAAAGTAAAGTTGAGATTTCAGAATAGAAGGGAGATTTAGTTGATTTGTCCAACAAATAATTGTCCTAGGCTACAAAAAAGCAGTGCTTTGTGGGGGAAGGTAGAAAAATAAAAAGGGGATGTGTTTTGGGAAAACTCTTAGAGGTGTTTTGGCTGTGTCTAAATTCTTGTTTTTTGTTTTTTGTTTTTTGTTTTTTATTTTACTTGCTATTGAGACACTTCTGCTTCAAGATTTCCCAAGTAATAGGAGCCTGGTGTAAGGCAAAGGTTGGTTTTAGGAGACATTCTCAAGCAAGTGTTGCTTGCATGGAGCTCTAGAACTGTTTGCAAATGGGAAAGTGTTTGCAAATTGGGAAAGTCCCCTTTAAGTTATTGGCGCTGAAGATCCTTCACTCACTGGTTTGGGAGGGTGCTGGAAACCTCACATTTTTCACAGCATATTTACATCCATTTTCTTGTTGGAGTCTTATAGCTTTCTCTGGGGATAGTTAGGAGGGTAAGTGTTATTCTAATTTTAGAGAGCAGTAAATAAAGTGACCTCAAAGAGGTTAAGAGACTTGCCCAAGGTCATATTGCTGGGAAGTGGTGGAGCCAACACACAAGCCTAGGCCCTCCGACTCCAAAGACAGTGTTTTGTCCAAGGAGTTTTTTCTTATACCTACGCCCTTTCCCTGTGTGTTTTCCTTACTTTTCCCAAATGCTCCTCTGCACATTGTCTCTGACACCTAATATTCTTTCAGCTGCACATTTTTAGGCTCCTGTAGGTGGAGCCCACACTGAGAGGACCCTCTGTGGGTCCTTCCCAGCAGAACCCCATACTCACCTCGCCAGGGCCCAGAGCTCCTTGGTGCTTTGCTGCTGGTACAGCTGGGAGAGTAGCTGCTGGGTTGGCTCAGGGCCCTGCTGAAATGTTCATCCACCACAGAGCTGATGTCCCCCTGGAAATAAGTGAAGAGGACGCAGCGGGAGTTGATGTACTCTGCCTCTGGTGGGCGCTCTTTCTCTGGGCTGCCTTCTTCCTCTTTTATACTGGCTGGGGTTTGGCTGGAAAACGAGGAGCTGCCACTGCCACTGCTGCTGGGGCTGGCATTGCACTCCTGGGCTTCCTGCATTTTGGAGTAATAGGCTAGTTTCTGCTCAGAGAGAGAGAGAACAGATACATCAATTTCAAAAGTGATGGCAAATTCGGTTCAGACTGACTCCCTCATCCTAATTCCTAAGGTATTTATGGGAAAACTGGCGTATGGGCCTAAGCCTTGTGCTGTTAGCATAAAACCAGCAATAGCGGGGCAACATAATTAGCAGGCCTCCCAACCTGCATCCACACAAGGGCAGGCTTCCTTGGAAGAAGATTGTGGTCCTTGGTCCCTCTGATGCCCGGAAAATTTCTCCTAAAATGTCTGGGTGAAAGCCTCAGGAGACACCTAAGCAGCTAGGTTTAGAGCTGAGTTTGACCTCATAGCTGGGCTCAGGGCAGATATATTTTTAAAATCAGACTCCAGGGGTAAAGGGCACCCAAGTCCAGTTAGGGCCTGACTGTTCTCTGCCTGAGAATCCAGGGCAGAAGCACAGGATACAGGACAAACATCCTCCTGATGGAACGGGGGAGGGGGAGTTGGGGACATCTATCCCTACAAAATCCACTCCCTGCAAATAAGAATGTGTGAAGGAAAGCAACCAGGAATGTAAGGGAGGAAATGCCACAGTGGGTTTGAAATAATTACATTTAGTAATGAATTGTGTGAGATAAAAATCTGGGGTAACGTTATGACTGGGGAATTATGGATCATTTTAACAAATGCAAGCTGATATTTGTTTACCCATACAACATCCACTTAAAAGTCTGCCTCAGTTTCTAAACAGAGCTTCTCTTTAATAAGGAAAAACTAGTGGATTATGAGTATTTCCACCTTCATCATCTCCACACACATTGAGGAAATGATAAAAAGGAGCAGACGGAAGAAAGTTAAGATCCTGGCTGTGAGTTGGGGTAAATCGAGATATCTGATAGTGATTTTAAAAAGCAAGTGCAGCTTCTGTGAACATTTTCTCAGAAATGAGCAATGGACTGAATAAAGTGTTAAAGCATTCCGCAGGCAGAGATGGCCTTGAAGAGGGGACCTAAGTAGTACAAAAATGAACAAAGATCTTAATGCAATAGATTGGTTCAGGGTCTGGGAGGAGAAAGGGCCAGTCAGAAAACCAATCCACCTCTCTCCCCTTTACTTGCCTTAGTCCCATCCTGGGAAGAAGTACATAGAAGCCTTAGCCAAAAGGTTTGAGTTATTTGGGGCTAAAACAATGTAAGATTTAGCAATATCACCACTTCCTAAATACCACCTCCCTACAATGAGGAACACTGGTGATTCCTCAAATTAACATTGATACAAAACAAACTGCAGGTTGTGAAGTTTACAAGAGGAGAAGAGGAGGTAAGAAAACAAAAAGTGAACCCTACCAGGTCCACCATTAATTTATCAGGAAATTTCCGAATGGACATTCTAAATTTGAAGAGAAAATTAGCAAAACCATCCACTGGGGTGTTGGGGTGTATTTCAATTTTCCCAAAGTAGGTGACCAAGCTTTCACTTTCCAACCTGGAGGAGACCCCTACGGCTCCCCAAGTGTATGCTTTCGTTCTTTTCCTGGACTACTGTCCTCAGTTTCTGCTACCTCAGCTGAGGAAATGGAAGGAAAATGGTTCAAACAGACGCAGCCTGAAGAAAAGAGAAATTGGCAGAATTGAATGGAACTTGAAGAGCTTGCAGAACCCGGGTTGAGTGGTCTTCTACAAGTGCTTGGTGAAAGCAGGGCTGCCCCATTCAGCTACTCAGGCTGGAGAGAGGCAAAGTACTGTCTATCAAGCTCGCCTCTGCCAGGTCAATCGGACTCCAGATAACACTCCCAGAAATTCGCTAAGAAAAAATTATAAAACTGCGAGGTGCTCTTTGAAACGAATTCGCTGGATCTGGAATTAATTGCCCTGGTCGCCGGAGAATTGAAACGGAAGAAACTACTTCTGAGATAAGCTTGCAGGGATGAGAACACCGGGTCTTGAATCTCAGAAAGAGGCTGGCTTTTAGTTTTGTTACTTTTAACATTGGGACCAAAGTTTGATTTTCCCTGCATGAGCTTTGCCTGCATTTCCTGTTACTGCAAATGGCTTGGAAGAATCTGGAGTCCGACAGACTTTAAGAAGAAAATCCAGCCGGTGCCATCCTCCTCTGATTATTCCAGGGAAACCCTAGGCTCACATTAGCAGGGCTTAGTTGCTTCCCGAAAGCAAACCGGGAGCTAAAGACTAATTGCACTACCAACTGGGGGCGGCTCGGGCAATCGCTGCATCCCGGCGGTGCCCGCCCTGGTCGGACACCCGCGACGCGCGGAGGCGCAGCGAACCTTGGCGTAGAGGTCGGGTCGCCGCAAGCGCGGGGCGCGCCACTCCTTCCCAAAGACCCCGCAGGAGACACGTACCTGGTGGTAGGGGGTGTAGGCGGCTGCGAAGTAGGGCTGCGGAGGACCATAGACTTGGTACATAACATCCAGACAGCTCATGACTCTCTGCAGCGGAGACGGTTAAGTGTTTTTTCATTAACTCTCCTTCCGCGGAGCTCAGGGGTGCTGCCTGGGCGGCGCTTGGACCCGAGCTCTGGAGTCATCAGGCGGAGCCAGGCCAGCGCGCTCCGCGGCTCGGAATCCCGCTGGCTCGCTCCCCTCCCACTCTTACGATTTTAGTCCCGACTGCGGTTCAGGGCAGAAGCGCTTGAGCTCCCGCTAGTGGGCCTTTAAAGCCCACGCCGGGCGGGCGTGCTGACGCCACTCGTGGGCTGCGGAGGCGGAGGGGGCGCTGGGGGGCGGGGACCGGGGGCCCAATGGGGAGCGAGGGACGTCTGTTGGAGAGGCAGCGAGTGTGTTTCCCGGGGCCCCCCTCCGGCGTGCAGGCGGTCAGGGGTGCCAAAGACTGAGCGGTTCCGAGCGGATCTGAGACTTCCCATCGCGAGTAGGAATCTCCCAGGATAAAATAGGAGAGAGACAGGGAGAGAGAGAGAGAGAGAGAGAGAGAGAGAGAGAGAGAGAGAGAGAGAGAGGATGGACGGAGGGATCCGGGCTCTTACATGCAGAGAAAGAAAATTGGAGAAAGGTCTCGTAGGAGAGCCCTTGTCTCATTCTGTAGAGTTGAGGGGGTGCGTCCAGAAGTGCGAGGTGGTGCAAATTCTCTGCTTTCGGTTCCTGATGATGTGTGAGGAGGACAGTGCTGTCCCTAGGGAATCCGGGTCGTGGCAGACAGAGTGTCGGAGTCGGGGTACTCCTCCAGGGCACGGAGGAGCTCCCTCTGCGGGGAAATGGCAGTTGCTGAAACCTGTTACCCTTGTCCTCTGATCCACCTCCTTTCGCTCCCTCTGACCCGGTCCTCCCGCCGACTGCATCGCACCCAAATTCTGCTCTCTTGGTCCGCACCCTTCTGCCCCTCTAAAGTTCGATCCCGCCCCTTTCTCTTTGAAGTTCTCCACCCCAGCCCGTGAGCTTCTCGTCGATCGTGCCCCGCCTCCGGCTGCTCCCGGGGTGGGCTGCTTTCGAGGAGTCCAGGAGGCCTTATCCGGCCCCCTATGCCTGGCTTTCCATGCTGGGGTCTCTTCGGCCGGAGTCCTTTAAAATTTTGGCAACTTTTGGGACAAGGTCTCCTTGGCGCTAAGAAGAAGCATCCTAGGAACTGCAAACAGAGAGGTCTTTTGCTGCCTCTTCAGCCGGTAATACCAGCTGCAATGGTATGTTTCATTTTGCAGAGCTGAAAGTAAATGCATTCCAAATATAAAACCTGCACCACCGGTCTCTCTCTGGCCCGCCCTGAGAGCTCCGCTGGCTTCCTCCTTCCAGCGACCCTCCCCATCCTTCCCAACCCTACTCACCACGAATCCCTCGGAAAGGGGTGTGTAACAGTGAAGTCTTCAGTTCTACAAGTTTAGGAACACATTGAGACAGGCTCTTTCTAAGGCTGGGTCAGGTGGCGGAAGGGGCATTACGGGAATAGTGGTGGGCTAGACTTGGGGGCCCAAGGGAAGAGACTGGGAGCATTAAGAGTCTAGACTGAAGAAAGAGGCAGCATGATTGCAAACCCTAGCTATCTGCCACTTTAAATACAACAGAAATACTTTGTAGATTCTCAGGCTATAAAACTGTGAATAAATGAATTCTTGAAGATCAATTTGTGTTTAAAAAGTGAATATTTGAAGCCAAATTGTTTTGATATTGCACTTTTGGTTTGCCTAATTTATATATGGGAAATGACTCCCTGTCTCCAACTCCTTGTAACTGGTGAGCCATCTTGAGCGATTGGACAATTTCCTTAATTAACTACAATGTAATCTATTTTAATGAAAATTTAAAATGAAGACACTCTTCTAGAACATTTCCATGCAAGCCTCTTTTTAGGGGCCAAGCTGCCTCGTGGAACTCTGCCGGCTTCTGGAGCTTCTGACTATCCAGGCACAAGGGTGAAGCAGAACATCCGTCACACCTCCACCCCAATGCGCTCTCCCTAGGAGTTTCTCCAGAGAGGCACAACCGCTTATCTGCATTTTCTCTGGGACCAGAACTGGAACTGTCACCGAAAGAGCCACAGTGCGCTCTTCTGTGTGCGGGAGATAGGGAGTTCAGGTCCCAGTCTCGCTGGCCGCTGCTGCGCACCCTTTCTGCTGGGTCGGCTTCACTCAGGCCCAAAGGAGTACAGGTGCCAGTGCAATCACCGCGCCAGGGACGCCGCGCGGCGGGTGGGTGAGGCCAGGGAGGGCCCCATCCTCCACTTTCGCGCAAGTCCCGCAGTCCCTCCTTGGACACAGACGCTCCGCTCTGGACATCTCTGGATGTAAGCATCCGTCGCTGAAGTCCGCTACTTCTCGCGCAGCCTGGGCTTGGCAGTCTTGTGCAGCGAGGATGAGAGTTGGGGGCGCGGGTTGGGGAGAAGCGGCGGGAGGCAAGCTCCACTAGCACGTCCAACCGACGCATGGAAACCTTGCTCTTCTACTTGCTCACCTCCCAGTAGCTACCTCCTATTACCTGTACCCGCTCACTTTGACACTTTTAAATTTTGCTATGGTGATAGTACTAGAAGACCTTTATTTTTTTTTTCTTTTTTCAGTTTTCAGAGAAAGTCACAACAACCTCTCTAAGTCCAGCAAGGCCCAGCAGAAAGTTATTTTCGAAACGGATTACAGGAGGAACAATTTCGCATATCTTAAACGAAGAAAACGAAGAGAACATTATTTTATCTGCCCACGGCTGCTTTCCGTTCACACTGCTCAGTCTCATCTTACTTGAAACAGTTTATAAAAATCTTACCGAAGCTAAGCGAGGGTATGGACTACACAGGAGTTCGAAGGAACACAAGAAACTGGGTCAGTGAGCATCAATCTTGAATTTAGGCAGGAAACCATTCTCTTCCCCCTAAATCCACAGTGAAGGAAGAAAAACAAACAGCACAGAGTTTTAAAACACATCCCAAAGATTGGAGATTGTTTCCTCTTTTTTTTCTGTGTCTAAAACTTCATCATTTACAAGGGGGTTTATTTCTCAAGCGCATGAGATTGCCTCTTGTTTCTTCCGCTAAAGCGGAAAGTAAAACACAGCTAAATTTGACTCCCCCAGCCATTCAAACGGCCAGCACATTAAGAAGTTAGATTTTGATTCAGAGCCTTGGGAATGGGCTACAGGTTGAAAAAGAACACTGAGAAAAATCTCTCTTTCCTTCCCTTTGGAGTCCTGTTCCTCAAGAAGAGACTGAAAAACAGTTAAATGTCACTGAATTTGGGCCCCAAGCCCCCAGTGAGATAAACTATTCCTATTTGCGAAGAATTGACTTTTAACTCTCTAATTGGGCAGAGGGAGAATCAAAACTTCTCTTTGAAATAAATTTCACTTTATGATCAATTAATGGCAATTTATTGAACTGCTAGGAAGGAGCTATATGAAAGTAAATTCCACTAAAATTTCTTTTTAATATCCTAGTTCTATTCTGCAATTCTAACAGTATCTAAAACTGTGAAAATAAAGGCACCTTTAGTCTCAAAGTTAATAAGTGAAATTAAATTACTTTAGCATGAGTCAGTGTTTCAAGATAGCATCACAATGAAATACCTGTTTTCTCTTCAGAAAGGTTTACCTCTCATAAACTAGCTGATTTAATTATCTCTGAATTTATCTGTCACTTCTGTCATCTTATTCTGAAAACTGCAGAGACACTGCTTAGCAAAGACATATGAATAGAACTGATTTGGACACTGACTTGCAGCCAGCCAGGCCCTTTCTTGCCAGTGGTTTATTTAAATCATGAGTTGGCATTTTGTGCTGCTTTATTCTGCCAGCCAAAGGGGATAAACGCAATGATAACCTCATAGATTTTCCCCCACAAACTCATTTTTTTAATGTTTTACTGACAGGAGTTGTGTTTGGGTTTGAGAGAGTAGCTGAGATTTTGTGGACTCAAGCTGTTAACAATATTATTTAAAAACATTTCTGCAAAAGCTGGAGCTTTCAGGCATGATCTGTTACTTAGGAATAATACTCGAGTAATGGAAAGACTGACTAGCGATTTAATTTTAAAGAAAAAAGGGGGAAACAGAGAAAGCCATATATTCTGAAACCTCGCTAAAAAGAGAAATAGAGAGGAATTAACAGTTTGACTTAGTGAAAAAGAAAAGAAGAAAAAGAGGGTTCTGTTATTTTCATACAAACTTTGAGTAGCTCTTAACAGTGCTTCCAAGTAAAAATCTTCCATGATCAGTTCAAATGAATAGATAAGGCTACTTTTATTGACATATAGTTGATTATTAAAAGAATGTTGAACTTTTCCTTCTTTACATATTTAAAACCATATTTTTATGTTATGTACATGTCAACTTTAGCTTTGGTGAAATAATTATCTTTTTAATTTAGTCTATCTTGTATTTATGTTAATGTTAGTACCCGTTTCTAAGACTGAGAAATATAACTAAAACCATATTCACCTTTTAGAAATGAGCTCTTTTTAATGAGTCTCTATGAAATGGTTATATAAAGATAAGATTATACAAATTCAATTCCTGTGACCCAATCCTTTAAAAATGATAACATACAAATAGCAAATAAGGAACACTTGAAATAGATGTGTGTCAAATATTTTGCCTTGTCATATTTTTTACAAGAGAGAAAAAATTAGAGGGAAATTTACATTATATAATGTTTACTTGGATAGCTAAGTCAGAGAGCATACATCAATTATTTTTTAATAGGAAGAAGTTGTCATTCATCTCTGCTTTGCCTGAAAAAGTAGCTCTCATTGCCTATAATTTCTGATGCTATAATTTGCTTTTCTTTAAAGACACACAGTTTGGAGAAAGCCTCATGACTAATATATTTGTGGAACTACTTTTGTAAGATATAGAGATATAGTGGAATTTACAAGTTCAGAAAATGGAAGTAAACTAAAGGATTAAGGCGGGTGGATCACAAGGTCAAGAGATCAAGACCATCCTGGTCAACATGGTGAAACCCCGTCTCTACTAAAAATACAAAACACATTAGCTGGGCATGGTGGCGCGTGCCTGTAATCCCAGCTGCTCAGGAGGTTGAGGCAGGAGAATTGCCTGAACCCAGGAGGCGGAGGTTGCGGTGAGCCGAGATCGCGCCATTGCACTCCAGCCTGGGTAACAAGAGCGAAACTCCGTCTCAAAAAAAAAAAAAAAAAAAAAAAAAAAAAAAAAAAAAACCAAAAAACAAACAACAACAA